GATGCAAGCAGCTGGACAGACAGCCCAGGGGAAGCCAAATTCATTTGCAGCCAGCTTATGGAGTTTTTTTTGTCCCAATGAAAGTAGTTTCTGTAATGCACGAAGGCATGTTCTACCCCTGAAAAACAGCATTAAGAAAGTGAATATTGTGGCAAAGCACCCAGCCTCGCAGGCTGCTCTCCAGGCCCTGCTAGGTGACGGGTACTGGCTCTCATCAGCATCGCCAGTCCTGGTCCTGCTCCCCACGCCACAACTTCTGTCTTTGTACGGTTCCTCTGAACAGGGACCTTTCAAACCCTGGAGACGAGGAACTCGCTCTTCTCCCTTGCACCTCTGGCTGCCACATCTGGGTGAGAGATGTGTTTGAACTCCTCTGAAGGGAAAAGGCAAAGAATATCCCCACACTGGCACTGCAGGAACTCATTTAGCAGTGAGTGTATGAAGTCCTCCAGCAGAACTTGTCTGTCCTGAACTATGCCATCAGGGAACACTATCAATAATAAAGTCTCTCTTTCCCGACACTATGGGATTTCCATACTCCAGCCAAACGCATTTTCTTTGAGTAAGTGACATTCTGATGTGTTCTGGGACAACTCCATAGGCATTTGCCAAGACACATGCTGGCTTCTTCAGACAGAGACACACGGCAGTTTAAACTTGGTTTAGCTCATGAGTCTCCAGTAACGACAGGCCATCTGGAACATTTCAGTAATACTGGCACTGTCTGCCCAGAGAGGTCCGGGACATAAATAAGACAGACATGGCAGGTCAGGAATGAAACGCATTGGCAGGGCTGTGTGCACGAAGCTTGCGTGGCAGCACTTAACCCAAGCCAGTACAGCCGGGACATCACCCATCAACACGTTCAAAGCCACGGAGGCAGCTTCGGGAGCAGAGCAAGACGACAAGATTTGTTGGAGCAAGGGTCAGGAGCAGCGCACGAGCAAGGTGCCGGCTAGGGGACTGCTGCTGGAAGGAGGAGGTATCACTCAAAATTGAGCTGTGGGGACAGGCTTGCTCGAAGTCAGGAGGTCATGGGTCAGAACGAAGCTGTATCAAAACCTCTTAGGAGGAGGGCAGAATGGCGCAAGGCTTGTAGACTGCACGTGTCCCTTGGGTTGCAGTAGCAAGGATGCTGGGACAGAGGATCCGACAGTACACAAGACCAGAAGGAATGAGGTTGGGGGCAGACTGGGAAGCATGAAGGAGGCTTTTTGCACTGGAAAGCTCAGCAGTTGCAGCACTGACTTCTTTCTGACTTGTTTTGGCAATGTTGTATAAGGCCAAGTCTGAATCAGTGGGAGAAGAAAGTGTATGCATTTGGTCCTCCTACCAAACAGGAGGTTAGTTTTAAGATGCAATTGTACAGAAATAAAAAAGAAGATTAGAAAGCCAGTTTTGTTGCTAGTTAGTATAATGAGATGTTCTTACAACAGCCTGATGACAGGGAAAATAGAGAATTGCTGATTCATTTACAGAAACAAAAATCATTTAGTGAGAAAACAGTTTCCTCAGTAAAGAGGAATGTGCAACTCCATTTATTGCAGCAACTGCCATCATGTGCATTGGCTGACCACCCAGTCTGGGCATGGATCACAGGACTACTCAATACCTGCCTTCAGTCATTTTTTCATTCCATACTCTAAAGCTACCGTTGGACAACATCAGATACATGCACACAGATGCCACACAGACTGGTTTCATCTTACTTTCATTCTCTGTGGCTTGGCCATAAGAGTGAAAACTTAACCAAGAAGATAAGGGTGTGATGTGTCCTCCTTTGACTGACCTACTTTGAGCCAAAAGCCAGGAAAGAGGGTACACGAATCTACTTCTAATGCAGATTAAAACGTGCCTTTAGCACAGAATCCCCACACAGACTCATCATACATTCAAAAAAGGTTTTTTCATCCTTTTCCCAGATTCCTGTTGTTGAGAGGACCATTAATGATAACTCCCTGAGGCTCCTTCTCCTCCTGTTACACAATGCCTCATTCACAACTTAGGCATCAGGACAGATGAAAGCAAAACAGAGATGAGCGGTTCTTCCCCTGGCATTCAAACTTTAAATCAAACACCCACTTTGCTGTACTATAAACAGAGCTACCGGTTTAGAGTACCAAGGCACTGCTGTAATGTTTCTTTAAGATTTTACATTTCTCCTGTGAGAAGCAATTACAATAGAAGTGTCAAACAAAAATAAAACCCTGTTAATCACAGTCACTGTGAGCTTGTGAAGTAAATCACATCTCAGTGTTGCTGTTCCATTTTTCAGGTAGAAATAGAAAGCGTGTGAGAATGCCAGAGTCTAGAAATTAAGCTCTTCCCAAGAGGGGGTCCACAGTTTTTGAAGATACAAGTTCTTCTCTTGTGCTCACAACACTGAGTGGAATTAGACAAGCACTAAAACTGAGTATCCAACGATTGTAAGAATAGTTTGGGTTGGAAGGATTCTCTGGAGGTCATCTAGTCCAACCTCCATCCAAAGCAAGGCCAAATGCACAGTTAGGTCAGAATGCTCAGTTCAGCTGGGCTCAGGGGGTTCTGAACAGCTCCAAAACGCTGGTTCCACAGCCTCTCCAGGCCACCGGGTCCATGCTCCGCTGCTCTGACCATAAACAACTTTCTTCCTAAATCTAGTTGGGATTTCTTTTCCTGCTTCCACCATGCACTCCCGAGAAAGGGTCTGACCCTGTCTTCTCTATAGCCTGTCATTCCCTTCAGCTTCCCCTTCTCAAGACTGAACAAACCCAGTGTCCTGTCCTCAGCTTCCACTCAAACATAGGTGCTCCAGCCTCTTCAAGCGCTCCAGCTCTTTACCCATCTATCACAAGTACAGAAATCGTACATAAATTTCTTTTGGTTTGGTCTACAAATAGGCAGGTCTGTGCCTCTGAAAGGAGAAATGAGAAATGAAGAAAACCTTGGCTTCTCAGCTGAGCCATTATTTTCCCATACTTTTCAAACTCAGAGGCTTCATGCACTGCCCAGTGCACCACAAGGGAGCTGCCTTCAAACCACCTGAAGGGAATGGTACTGAGATTGTTCCCCTCCAAATCTGAGGATTTTCTGTGAGCTTTGGAGGGAGGTTTTGTTCTTATTTTATTTTCATCTTTTCACTGCTCCCTGGGCTGTGAAAAGCCAGTCATTTTAAGGTGATGCAATTGCAGCTGCTGTTCCAGAACAGCAGAGTGTAAGGGTGCAGTTTCCATCGTGCCAGGGAGCTGACAAGCAGGGTGGTACCTAAGGATAAGTATAATTGGTTTAAAGATGCTGTGAGGTCTCCCATTTCCTTTTTCTTTTGCGTAACAGGTGGTGGCTTGATGACTAGATCAATTGCTTAATCAATGCTATGAATATTAACCGGAATATCTAACTTGTTTTAGCTGAGTCAATCTTAAGACATCCAGTCTGTGTATTGCAGACCTCAGCTTATGGAATGAGTTTTCACATCAGGTAGTTATCTTCCCCAGGAACCTTCAAGAACAGTTAGCTCATACCTGATCCAGCCATACCTGAAATTTAGTAATGCAGTTTTCACATCTCACTCTAGATTCGTGTTTCTTTTCCACTGTAACCCCCTAATCCTGCAACTGCCAGTTACACTGAGTCACCACCCTGAAATCAATTTCGGACAGAGGAGCCTGTTGCTCAATAAAAAGGGATTAACTGGACTGAGCCTCATTTAAGTAAAAACTTCATTCCAATTCCCATATTCCCTGCCTATCCCCAAGAACCCTATAGATTTGTAATCCATTCCTGTAGCTTAAGTTGGACACTTTTTCTGATACAAAATATCAAATCACACTCCTGAATCAATCAACACAACCTCAAACTCTGCTCAATCCAACCATTTTCACAGTAAAAATATTTTTGAAGTGCTTCAGCTCAGATATGCTCCACTGCAGGGAACCCTCTTTGCAATGGCTTGACACCAGCTGCATTGCCAGCAACCCTGTTGACAGGAGATATTTCCCCATTATTTTACAACAGTATAAAGACCCCAAGAGCAAGAAAGGTCTATTTGAACTGCCAGTCTTCTCCCAGTTATCGGTGTGCTATCGATAAGCAACAATGCAACTTCAGCGTTTTTAGTGATCATCTGAATTTTACTGCAGTAAAGTCACAGCCACAGACAACAAAGCCCTTCACTTTTTGGAACAGGAGGGGAACTTCCCTAAACTCTCATCAGCGTGTGTATCTTGTCTGATTTGGAAAGAGACTGTGCAGGACAGAGAAAATTGTATTTACTTTACAGAGATACACAACATCATAAATTGTAAGTCCCAGGAGTAGTTAGGTATCTCATGTTGGACAACAGTCTACTGGTACAGAGAGACAAAACAGTAGTTTTGTGCCACTGTAGTGAATACTACTATCGAGTTAGGGAAAACAGGTACCAGAAACCCAAGTACAAATCCTCCAAGCAATTTACATCACCCTGAAGAAACTCATCATCTATCAACGGCAAAGTTCTTTGTTGCACTGGAAGATATTCTGTCTGGAAATACACATAGGAATGGTTTTGTACTCTGACTGCCAGTCTCTGCACCATCCACGCTTCTGTACGTATAGCTTTAATAAAGCAGCACGCATGCATAAAGGTATTTCACATTCTTCTACCTGTGATCAAAGTCCAATAAGAGTATCTGGGTATGAGTGAGAGAACAGTATCAACTTACTTTCTTGAGCTCTACCCCAAGATTGTCCTACCCCCATCATAGGGAATGACTGACTGGTGATACTGTGACAGCCACAAAAGCCATGTAACATTTTTTAATAACTCACCCCCAAAAGAAATATAAATACTTGCTTACCTGAACCAAGATTTCCTAATTCTCTTTAATATTCACCCCATAACAACAATGTGCAGAAAAAATAAGCAGAGGACATTTTTTTTTTTTCTTATATTCCTTCTTTTCTGCAGCTTTAGCAGTGTGTTTGCTTAGAGCCAGCGAGTACCAGCTCACACACTCTTCCCTGCTAACTAGGGTCCTTACCGGTGACGACGCTGGGGATTTTGGACAGAAAGCTCTTGACAGTGCGAATGGGAACTCCACCTGTTTTGTCATCCTGCATTCTCGTAATGATGTCTTCAATCTGTCAAAAGGAAGGAAAGACTTAGAGGTTTTTGCAAAACAGTGACTGTAATGTTTATATATGGTGAGTGCTTTAGAGCCCTGCTGATAGGATGGACTTCAAATATACCATGTGTATTACTGCACAAACACAGACCTAGACACACAGTTACCACCTCCCATATTTGAACCCTGAGACTAGACACCACAAGACAACATAGACCAGCTCGGGAGACAGTGGTTGGATACTGACAATCCAACTGCAACTGTACTTTTTTTGCTGACCAGGGGTGACAGAATGGTGGCATTTGGTCCACATATGAATTGGGCTAGATTCTTGTCCTGGTTTCAGCTGGGATAGAGTTAATTGTCTTCCTAGTAGCTGGCATAGTGCTGTGTTTTTGAGCTAGGTATGAGAAGAATATTGATAACACTGATGTTTTCAGTTGTTGCCAAGTAATGTTTAGTCTAAAGTCAAGGATTGTTCAGCTTCTCATGCCCAGCCAGCAAGAAGGCTGGAGGGACACAAGAAGTTGGCACAGGACACAGCCAGGGCAGCTGACCCAAACTGGCCGATGGGGTATTCCATACCATGGGACGTCACATCTAGTATAGAAACTGGGGGGAGTGGGAGTGGGGGGATCACCGCTCGGGGACTAACTGGGCATCAGTCAGCAGGTGGTGAGCAATTGCACTGTGCATCATTTGTATATTCCAATCCTTTTATTATTACTGTTGTCATTTTATTAGTGTTATCATTATTAGTATCTTCTTTTCTATTCTATGAAACCATTCTTACCTCAACCCATGAGTTTTACTTCTTTTCCCGATTTTTTTCCCCCATCCCACTGGGTGGGGGGGGCGAGTGAGCGAGCAGCTGCGTGGTGCTTAGCTGCTGGCTGGGGTTAAACCACGACAATTCTATACTGCAACCAACTTAAGGATTTTCCCATCCAGACCACTTGCCCCTCTTCTCCCACATTGATTTGAATCCTCGATACTGTGACCTTGGGAGGGCTTTCATTTTCCAAAGGGTCCCAGACAGTCACCAAAGGCCTGTGGCTTGAGAAGAGCATGAGACAGAACAACTGCAGGACAATTTCCCCTGCCTCATGCTATAGGCTGGGATGGTACATGTCTGTGGTCATCGTATGAAGTAAACGACCAAAAGTAAAATTATCATAGAGAAAAGACTCGTTAGATTTTCATAGCCAAGTTAACTTTTACTTCACAGGCATGTACAAAATCCATCACATACAGGAAAATACACAATCATCTTCAAAAGCCATGGTAATCATAGAATCTGATTACTGGGGGAAAGAGCTTAATCCTCCAGTTTACTCTAACACAGGAAGGGATTTTTGCTCCTTCTGAGGTTACTCCCCCTGCATTTACTTGAAGACAATGCCAGGGAGAACCAAAAGCTGAACATAAGCACAGTGCAGAAATTCAGTGTTTCCAAAAACTCCCTTCAAGTCATTAAGGTCTCATAACCCCAACAAAAATAAACCCAAAGTTGTTGGCTCTGTTAGCTTGAGCAGCCCTGCCCACTGCTGGTGACAGGGGCCCAAGACCAACAGCGGCCAGACAGGCAACACAGCTCTGATTTTACCTAAAGATTTTCTCACAGATGCTACAAAGCACAACCTCAGCAGAGAGGTTACATGGTGGGGACATGGCCCCTCTCTCCTAAAGGCAGCCTGAGAGCTCAAGCAGCAATCTTCAACCCTGGAAAGCTGGCTTCGTTTAGATGTGCAAGTGAGTTTCTTTCACAGACTTAACTTCTATATTTCAAAACAAGTTTAGTTTCAAGTTTTCCTGAGGTAGTAAGACAATTTCCCTGCCAACTTCGGACACTGAACTTGATCACCGTGTTTTTAACCTCAGGCTATCACTTAACTGAACTGTTTGCACCTTGTTTATGCATTGTTTTTAAGTTAACACATCCTAAACAAATTCTCAGCGAGAATGAAGTCACAAAGATGAAAATATCCTGAAACATTTAATATATTATGGGAGGGTTGGGTACCTACAGTTAAGTTGTGATAGAATAATGCTACTTTGCCCCCAGCTGAAACACTATGAAAATTAATACCACTTTTTCCCCTTTACACCTGACCTTTATGCAAGGTTGTTTGCTGATCAAAACAGTTTCTTCCAGTCTGAGGATACCTAGCGGAGTAACTGCTCCTCTCAAGCTGGACAAGAAGCATTTCACAGCACCTCATGGTGTTGAGAGGAGCCTGACAGCATCGCTTATCACCAACCCAGACCTACGAGGCTACAGCGCTCCGACACCAGACCTGCCAGGGGGACAGGACAGCTCGGTTGCCTGCAAAGAGTGGACCAAAGTCAGCCAGACTAAGAACCACTTCAACAAGGCAATGAAAAAGTCTCTCCGTGACCAACTAGTTACGTGTCTTCATCCACACGTGCCTGTAGCTGGCAGAGAGATTCTTCCGTGACTGTTGGGAAGAAACTACTCTGGAACGTGTTATGAGTCCCATGTCTCCAGGAACACTTAAGGGCTTTAAAAACCGCAAGCATAATTTTTGGTAAAACTGTTGTTTTCTCTATTTCTATTTCAATGAAAAGTTCAGAATGAAAACGAAGATAAAATAACTGTTTTGATGCAGGAAAATAAACTTCTTAGTCTTTTGCTCACTGTAAGCTAAAGGAACACCAGAAAAGATTTGTGTCATTATCACTCCACAAAAAGTTCTATTTCAAGCAAAATAAACCTTTAATTATCCTAAAAGCAAAATATGCTGGTTTTACCCAAACCATCCCCATTTCAAGCAATGAAGGAGGCATTGGTGTCTCAAACGGAGCCATTAACTTGGGTTTCAGTCACAACTACAAAAGCCTACTGCAATTTTAAACCAAAATAAACACAACTGCCTTAGAGATAACTCCTTCCCAAAAGGCTCGTTCTTCCTCTTGTCTTCCAGCCTGACTACTGGCACTTTCTGCTCTCATTTCTGAGCTTTGGATGTTTCTTCTCCCCTTCCCTTTCTACTCAGATGCCACATCTCCTTCCTTCCCTGTCCTCCCATCTGATCCAGACATGACTATGTATGTCATCCTCCTACAGCATGCCAGCATTTGCAGTCTGCTGCCTGAGAACCCACAGGGTTACAGCCTCTGGTTGTACATTGTTTTCCCATTCCCAACATGCTTTCCTTGTGCTCACTCTCTCAGCAAATTTCTGCACTGCTCAAAGGGGACAGACAGCATAGCCTACTCAAAGAAACACTTGATGATAATTTTATCCTTTCTTAAAGTTATAGTCAACTTTTAAATAAAATACTGAAAACCTACATTTAGCAACCTATGACAAGTTTTTGTTCAGTCCACTACAAAGACATCTGACCCTTTGTACCAGCCTTTGTGTTTTGCATCCACCCAACGTGTGCAGATATTACCACCCCGGATCCAAATTCCTGCCTAGCTACGGAAATGTTTCATGAAAAAAGTGATACAGTGACAAAGTGGAAAAAAGTGATTATTAGAGCTTCAAGTGTGGAGAAAAGCAAAGAGGGAACATCAAGCATGAAGGTCATTTTCATCAAAGCTTTTAATCTTAACTTTTAAGAGAGTCACCTAGACACTTCACTGCTATTAATTCTCCCTTCAGTTTCTGCATGTCATTAAATATGCTTTAGGTTTCCCCCTCTGGCAGACAGGGAATAAGAGTCCTTGGATAGTTCATTTCATCAGGCTAGGAGGCAGGAACTAGTAAAACTAAGCAACCCTCATGTTTATCACTCCTAAATGAGTAAGCTTGACTGAACTAACTTCTGCCCAACAAAAGTCATGGTAAGAATAGACAATTTATTTTTCTATTATGGGGATCACTGCTATTTCACTCTGGTCTGATTTTTGCATCTGTAAAGGGAACTGTTACTCTGCCCTCTGAGTGAATTCTGGGTCAACATCTCTGTGAGAAAGCCAGAGCAATTTATGTATCTACTGTTACTGTTAGCTACACACTGTAATGTATGCCTAACAAACTAGATCTGCCTTTCCTCCTGACTGGTTGCTGACAACTCTGCTCCCTACATTTGTCCAGAATGATTTTGTTTCACATTACCCCACTTTAAATGCATTGAAAAGGGCTTTGGGATTCAGAAGCACATTATCTGTGGAGACAGGACTCTACAGCCGGTAGTTTATGAGAGTTTAACAACATATTCTGTTACACAGAATGTGTTGGGGATTTAATGCATATGTGGGATTTGCTGTTATTCCTTAGATCTTCTTTTCCACTATCAGCACTTTTGCTGGCCTAAGGAGGGTGAAGGCATGAAGTAGAAGACCTTGAATTTCTGTCAGAGCTGAGATGGCTATCACTGGGAGATGAGATGTCCCTTTGCTGAGGGAGGGGAAAATAAAATATTACATTTGATGATGTGTTAGAATAAATAAGTCACAATACAACAAGAAATGTAGCTATCACAGCCTGGCAACTTTGGGTCAGTGCCACACAGCATTCCTAGTGTTACCATTGTACGGGGGAAAATGACTCTTGACTTTGCAATAGCTTCTCTTTCTCCCAGCACCAAAATAAAGCAGGCACCCACACTGCAGCACGTTAGTGTGCACAGCCTTGCTGAGCCCTGGAAGCACCCTGCTCATGGTCAAAGCTGACCTTGGAGATAACATGCTGAGGGAAGAGCAAGTAACACACGAAAAAGAAAAGCTAACAGCTCCCACCTCCCATGACCCCATACCTGGACACCACCAGCAGCTTACTGGAGTTACCAGGCTAAGCATGTTTAATTGCAACTGAGTGATTATCATGCAATGATGTCAGAGGCCACCATGGTCCCATTTTGCCAGCTCATTTTTGAGAGCTAGTGAGGGGAACTAGCTAGCCTTTCATATTCTAGCCTCCGAGTTAGCTGCACATACTCCCTCAGACCCTGCAGGAAAGGTCCCGCTGCCTATTTCTGAGTATTTTGGTCTGCACTGGGTTCCTGTCTGATTACTCACAGCAGG